TTCTGTTTCCCGGAGTGCCACCTTGCCTGTGGTCCTGCTTTCTGATCTCAATCACGGGCCGCAGGCACAGTGGCTCTTGTTTCCTGGGGTGCCGCCTTGCCTGAAGCCCGGCTTCTAAATCACAATCTTGGGCCATAGGCTAGGGGGCTCCTGGGACCCGAGGTGCCGCCTTGACTGCGACACGGCTTTCAAATTATGATCATGATCAAGGTCCAGAGGCAAGGCGGCTCCTGGGTGCCGGTGTGTGCCGTGCCTGAGGTCGGCCCTCTGATCATGATCAGGATCACCGGTCCCCTTGTGTCCTGGGGTGTCGCATTGCCTGTGGTCCTGCTTTTAAATCGCGATCAAGGCTGCAGGCAGGGCAGCTCCTGGGTCCCGGGGTGCCGCCATGCCTGAGGATAGCCCTGTTAACGTGATCATGATCACAGGTCCACTTGGGTCCCGGGGTGTCGCCTTGCCTGTGGTCCTACTTTAAAATCTCGAACAGGATCACGATCACGGCTGCAGGCAAGTCAGCTCCTGGGTCCAGGGGTGCTTCCTTGCCTGTGATCCGGCTTTCAAATAATGATCATGGGCCACAGGCAAGGCGGCTCCTGGGACCCAGCGTGCTGCCTGGCCTTGGGCTCAGCTTTCTGATCATGATCATGGTCCTGGGTCAGGGGCAAGATGGCTGATTGTTCCTGGGGTGCCGCCTTGCCTATGGTCCTGCTTTCAGACATTAATCACGGGCTGCATATACAGCGGATCCTGGGTCCTTGGATGCCACCATGCCTGAAGTGCGGCTTCTAAATCACAACCATGGGCCACAGGCTAGGCCGCTCCTGGGTCCCATCGTGCCGCCGTGCCTGAGGACAGCCCTCTCTACATGATCATGATCACGGGTCCACTTGGGTCCCGGTGTGCCGCCTTGCCTGTGGTCCTGCTTTTAAATCTCGATCAGGATCACAATCACTGCTGCAGGCAAGGGCTGCCGGGGTGCCGCCTTTTCTGTGGTCCGACTTTCAAATCACTATCATGGGCCACAGGCAAGGCGGCTCCTGGGACCCAGCGTGCTGCCTGGCCTTGGCCTCAGCTTTATGGTCATGATCATGATCCTGGGCCACGGGCAAGATGGCTGATTGTTCCTGGGGTGCCCCCTTGCCTGTGGTCCTGCTTTCAGATCTCAATCAGGATCACGATCACGGACTGCAGCCAAGGCAGCATCCTGGGTCCAGGGGTGCCGCGTTGTCTGTGGTCCCGGCTTTCAAAATCCACGATCATGGGCCAAAATGCGAGGGCGGCTTCTTGGGACCTGGGGGGGCTGCCCTGGGCCCTAGGGCTCAGCTTTCTGAACCTTGGATCATGAATCTTGAGAAAAAAGGCAAAAATGGGCGAAGGATTCCCTGGGGGTGCGGCCTTGCCTGGTGGCCCTGGTTTTCAGGAAACCAAATCAAGAATCACGGTCACAAGTCACGGATCACGGCTTGGGGGAAGG